CTCCAGGGGATAAAATCAGCAATTTATGCAACAAGGGTACTGCCCAGGTCTTGCAGAATTGGAAAAAAAAAAAAAAGACACTTTTAGTCCTCTACTTTGGGTATCTTAACATTGAGTCCCAAACTAGATAAACACATTGCCTGATTTTCACGTGTAAAGCAACTGCAGCTTCCATTAAGTTGGACTGCAGTCTCAGATGCTCAATACAACTGAAAATCAGGGCAAATTAATGCCCACAAAATTAGTGAGAGTATAGGTAAAGTTCTGACAAGGTTCTTTGGGTAAATCTAATATCTTTTATTAGACCAGCTCAATTAGTTGGAAAAATTCTTCTGTCCAAGCTTTCAGGTACAAATACCCTTTGTCAGGCAGAGGAAGCATTTGCAGTTGGTCTGTGCTCTTCCTGGATGGAGCAGTAAAACAACCAGAGGCCACTACATATGCAAGAAAGCCACTCAGTTAAAATGTAAACTGAGGTAGTTAATAGGTGAGAGACAAGTGGTGGGGGGGAGGGGAGGAAGAGGATCCTCCGCCATGATGATCCTGGCTTCCCCCTGCACAGGCTATTGGAAACCAGTCAGCTGATCCCTGGTCCCAGCCTCAGGATCACACTGGAGTCAAGGGGTCCAATATGTCCCTGAGGCTGGCAGCAAAGATCAGCTGACACCCACCAGGGTGCAGTGGAGTCCATGACTCTGTTGCACCCCAAGCCTAGGAGCCCCAATCAGCTGCCAGTCCCAGTCTCCAGGTGCAAGAAACTTAAAAGTCTCGGCTACAACCTGGTGTCTGGGCACAGAAATCAACAGCTGCTTCCAGCTACAGGGGTGCACTGGAGTCCTTGACTCTGTGGCACCCCAGCAAGTGAGTGGCCTGGGGCATGACAGAGACAAAGCCTCTGATGCACCCCTGCAGCTGGGAGCAGCAGCTGATCTGCACTCCCAAGCTCTGGGATGCAGCGGTCAAGTGCTCCATTGCACCCCCACGGCTGGGAATGGCAGCTGCTCAGGGCTCCCACCTCCAGAGCATATCACAGCCCTTGACCCCATGCGCCCTGCAGGCTGGGAGTGGCAGTCAGCTGATGGGCTCTCCTACCCTCAGGAGCATGCAATCAAGTCAAAAGCTCCCATGCACTCCCTAAGCCTCAAGCTCCAATCAACCGGGCTACATGTACATTTTAAGGTGTGATGGGAACCAGCCGCAAAGTTATCGCATCATTTTGGGTAATAATTTTATGACTTAGTCCATGTTTTATCACACCATTAATTGCACTACCACGTGGCTGGGTTACTACTTAAGATGCGATTAACTGGTTAATCATGTCTTAAGTGTAACATGTGCTGGGGTCTTTGAAAAGGATACTTACATACTGGCCAAGCACTACCACCCATTAAACTGAAAGCTGCAGAAGTATAACCTTTGTCTATTTACACCAAAAAGGTGTTAAGCTCTATTAACGTTCTCTGCCAGGAATATTTTTATATGTGGAAATTATAATGATGTATATTTTGAGGGACTGACATATCAACCTTACTTCTGAAGTTTAGTATTTCATTACCAGTCTTCAACATGAATGTTTAAGTGTACAAACTTTTTACTTAAAAAAGTGCTTGTGCATACACACTGGCATATTGCCTATTATTTAGAAAAACAGATGACCTAGACAGCTCAAAATCCTGAATTTTAGCTCCATCCCCAATTCCATAAAGTCTGCTTTTTGTCATACTGACACTACTTGGCCTTGAACAAATGACAGAAATTAATAACCGTCATAATAAATAAATCTGACATTCAATCAAAGTGCATGACTTCCAGAAAAATGTGGTGCACAAATGACATAGTGCTTACAATAGTCCCTTTTACAAAAAAAGTGAATGTTAAACAACTGCAATAGTACTCCACATATAGAATTATAGTTTTTATACTGATCAGAAATGAAAACTTTGTATTTATAGAGATGAAAATAGTCAGGGCAAGTTATGATGACTCAATGCAAAAAAAAAAATAGAAATTAAGATATGGGGATGTCAAATATAGGTAATATTGAAGTGGAAAGACTGAGAGGGTTTGGGTGAGAGGAAGACAGGACCTAAAAAAGAACAGTTAGTTCTTCAAGATGGCTTTTTCCACATTACTTCCATTCTCTTGGTGAACATATGCCACAAGTATGTAAGACTGTATTCTTTTGGTTAGCAGTGTCCTCTGAGGCAATGTTTCACCTTAATCATCCTTGGTAGGCCTCCTTCCCGCTGGCATAATGAGCAGAATCGGCCTTGAATAGCAGAGTGTAGCATTAAAGCTTCACAGTTTCTAAGTCTGAGTTTACAACTGTAAATTACTCTAACATAGTTTCTTTCAAAACAATATTTAGCTTTGAGACACTAGGGTAGGGCAAGCTTTCATTGTTGCTACCTGAGGTCAGCCTGTTCTGTAATAAATAAAGGACATAATTGTCTAGGTTCATCTTTTTGGTATCCTTCAGGAGTACCTAAAGCAGATACAAAAAACTTAATGGAAAAAAGGACCACGTGATAAGACTGATCTCTGAAAGATTTTGAATAATTTATGTCAGCAATTTCTACTTAGCAAAATGGAGTGAAGACTACATACTTCGAAATTTTGAGCTTTTATAACCAAGTCCCACAGATCTGCAGCATCTAAGTGTCTCGGCAGTTCTGAAAGCTGTTTTACCTTGAAACCCGGGTACTGACAGTTCTAAACAGGAAAAAAAAAGTTTAATTGTACAAGCTAATTATTATGCTTTTAGTTATCTTAGATTTGCACAGCTATTCTACTGAGGATATCAGATAAAACATATCTCCAAAATTTTTTAAATCTGAAATTAAAGACACTTACTCTATAACAGAGATGTCCCATTTTGGGAGCCACATTTTATCAGCAGTTTCTTCACCAACTGTTTGTTCCCATTATTCAGTCCTAGTAAGAGGTCCAGTTTACCAGCAAGTAATTTTCATTTAGTTGTCAGCAAATTACCAGCAAGAGGTAGGATCATCCCTATCCAAACCATCCTACAGAAATCCATGGTCTAACCTCCTAGCCAAACTATGCAGTCAAACCTGACACAAAACCCAAGACATAACACACCAACCTGTCACAGGTAAAGCAGGGGGAACACAGCAGCCAATGTGGTTGTTAATATAGGCTTGAGAGATCCCAGTTAGAGGGCCATGGCCCCCACTATGGAGGAAGGCAAAACACCCACTGGCCATACCAATCTGACCATAGGGTAAAATTCCTTCCTGACCAAAATATGGCAATTGGCCTGACCCTTTAGCTAGGAATGTCTGGGTTTAAGTCCCACCAGGAACACTAGCACACCCAAGTCAAAATCCCCAGCCTTCCCTGTAGCCAGCATCCAATGCCTCTGAGGAAGGCTTTTTAAAAACAAACAAGCCCTGACATGTAGCAGTGGGGGCTGGGGGGAATCCTTCCCAGCCCCATGCGGCAATCAGCAGAGCCCAGAAGCTTGGGAAATACCCACAGTAGAATGTAAGCATAGCTATACCTAGGTCATCCCGAAGCAGTGGCTGTCCAAGCTCTTCTTGAACACCTTCAGTGATGCAGAGTCCACAACTTCCCTTGGCAGTGTATTCCACTGCCTCATTCACCTAACAGTCAAGAAGTTTTTCCTGATATCCAATATAACCCTATTTTGCTGCAACTTCAAGCCACCTATCTGTGTCCTACTCTTTACAGCAAGAGAGAAAAGGCTTTTCCACTTCATTATGGCAACCCTCCAAGTATCTGAAAACTGCTATCATGTCCCTTCTTAAGCACTTTTTCTGCAAGCTGAACATACCTAGCTCCTTCAACCTCTCCTCATATGACTTGCTTCCAAACCACGTATTATTTTTGTTAACCACCTCTGGGCCCTCTCTAACTTCTCCACATCCTTTTTGGAATGTGGAGCCCAAAACTCTACACACTGCTATAACCAATGCCAAGCAGAAAGGCACTTATCACCCCCTGCGTCTTGCACCTAATGCTTCTATTGATGCATCCCAAAACTGCATTCACCTTTTGAGGCTGAATTATACTGCAGACTTAATACTGAGTCTATGATCTACCAAAACTTTCAGATCTTTCTCTGTAGTGCTGCCATCATTCCAGGTGTCACCCATTTTGTATTTGTATTTATGATTAATCATCCCAATGTGTAGCACCTTGCACTTATCAATATTGAATTTTATCCTGTTAGCTCCAGCCCAGGACAGTCACCTGTGGGACTTGACTCAAAACCTCCTCCTATCATTCTGATATGGATCCATTTATAATTACTAGGGCTGTATGAAACTTCAGTAGGTGATGCGATTTGGAGAAGATTCGGCCCAATTTGGAGGCCGAATCTCTGAATCCGAATCGAATCAGGAGAACAATTAAAAGCTCTGAATCAATTCAGAAAAGCTTCAGAAAAGATTCAACCACTTCGGAGATTCAGCCATAGACTAAACAAGGCAGCTGACACAGCTGCCTCCAGCTGGTAAATCTGTTGGGACTGTGAGAGGGATGGGGTATGCAGGAGGGAGGGACTGGGGCTGGGACAAGTTGCCCAAGCAAGGCAGGGGGGCATGGGATGTGGGCGCAGCAGTGCTGGGAGCAGAGGCTGCCGCCCAGAGCGAGCCAAGACTGAATCGCACCGCCCCCTCCCCCCCGCGCCAGCTGGGCAAGTGGCAGCAGGACAAAACCGCCGTGGTTCTGCCCGCCGGGGCAAGGGCAGGCACAGCCAGAGGAGCCGCAGGAGAAACCCCCATGGCTGCCCTACCTGGCCCCATCCTCTGCCAAGTCCAGCCTCCAAACACAAAAAAAAAAAAAGCCCCACACTCACTGGTTCTGGCAACAGAGATCAGGGTCTCCAAGGTCTCATGGCAGAGCCCCCCCTGTGTAGCACGGCACAGTGGGGGGCAGCAGGTATCGCCCCCTCCCCCCCACCTGGCATCCATATGGCAGCTGTCGCATCATGCGGGTGCAGTGTGGCTTGGCAGGGCACCATGCACTGCCTGGGAGCTGAGGCCACTGGGGCTGAGCAATGCTGGGCTCTGGCTGGAGCTGCCCCAGCTCCCAGACAGCAGGGGAGTTCTGCCACAAGCACCCAGAGGCCCCAAATGCCGTTCCTGCATCCGGTGAGTGCGGGGCTTTTTTCCCCCTAAAAGCTCTGCACTCACCAGCTGCAGCACTGATGACTGGGGCCTCTGGGCGCTCATAGCAGAGGCTCCCCATGCAGCGTGAGGCAGCAGGGATCACCCCCTCCCCCCGCTTGGCACCCACGCAATGGCTGTAGTATTACGTTGGTGCGGTGCAGCTCGGCAGAGTGCTGCGCGCTGCCTGGGAGCTGGAGTGGCTCCACATGTCAGCCAGAGCCTGGCACCTCTCAGCCCCAGCAGCCCCAGGTCCCAGACACAGGGAGCACCCTGCCGAGTCGCACTGTACCTGCACCATGAGACAACTGCCTCATGGATGCCAGGCAGAGGGCAAATCCCACTGCCCCCCACTACATGGGAGGGCTCTGCCATGAGCCCTCAGAGGCTCCAATCACTGCTTATGCAGCCGGTGAGACTGGAGCTTTTTAAAAAAATTATTATTTTTTAAGTGCCGGGACAAGGCTTGGGAGGGCCGGGTGCAGGATAGAGCCAGGCAGGGCAGCCATGGGGGCTTCTTCCACAGCTCCCCCTGCCCGGGGACAGGTAGGCACAGCCAAAGGACTCGCAGGAGAACCTGCAACCACCCAGCTGTGTCTGCCTCTACCCGACTGATCCGAATCACTGCCGAACCTTCCAAAGCAGATTAGGCCAAATCAATTCGGGACAGTGATGCAAATCTCCTAATCAGATCACTGTCCTCCAAATCGGCCAAATCCGAATCTGAATCGAATACTTCCCTATTCGCACAGGCCTAATAATTACTGTATTTTTTTGGTGCACAAGTCAACACAGTGTATAAGTCAACCCTATATTTCTGATCCAAAAAGCTCCCAGGGAGGTTTGCCCCATAGGCAGCACAACTTCATGAAATTTCTTTCCATCCAGTCCTCCAGGTCTCTCTGAATCCTTCCCACACCATCCAGCATATCTACTACTATCCACAGCTTGGTGTCATCTGCAAACTTGCTAAGGGGCACTCTATGATATCTTCCAGGTAATTTAGTTGAAGGTAATCACTGTGGATTTCCACTTATAATTATGTTCCAAGGGGACAGAAGACCATGGTAGGCTACTGTTCTAGTTCAGAAAACAATACCTCTGTGCCTTATATAAACCTTTCCTATATTTTGAACATTCTGTTATTTTTTACCTCAAGCCAAGTGGCTTACCTTGTGCTTCGAAGTGCAGGAAGTAATATAAAATAATAAATCTAGACATTTTTGTAGTGATACAAAATTTTCAAAGCAGCAGGCAGCTATTCACTGATACTCTTGTGAAGTACATGGTTTTTGACATGCTGTTTTCAATATTACTGCTCAAGCAAGTCAAGTGAGCAGGTTTTGGATCTTATATTTGTCATCTGAGGAGAATTCAGATTTTCTATCTTTGTTTATCTCAATATTTTCCTTTAATTAGCTCAGTTAAAACTACAGTAGTAGGTTATGTTAGAATTCTGCAGCCGCTTCTCTATCCAATGAAATATGCTCAGAATTGTTATTTTAGGGCTCAGACTTGGGAACACACCTGAGTAATGTTACTGACATAACCTAGCATTCTTAGCTGGCAAGGTTCCCCCTTCTGTGCTTTTACCAGCTAGTTTTGGTTAGATGGTCCTTTAACTCATGCTTAAAGTCAAAGAATCTCTAGGAGCTATAGGGATCAAAACACAGAATTGACAAAGAGCCACATTTGCTTCCTCAGATCCTTTATCAAGCACATTTTAGAAGGACACACATTGAGCCCCACAATTCAAAATAACCAGCACACTAATATTATATTTAGATGAGCTTTCATATCATGTATTGAAATGTGTGTAACTAAAAAAAATGATCATAACTCTCTAATACATATATGTTTTGGGCCTGATTCTGTAGTTGTTTCTTTCCCTGAACTGATTTCCATATCCTTTGATATAATATGTTGATATATCACAATCTATAATATTTGGTAACACTTACCTCTACATTTTTATTACTTGATTCCTCAGGAATGTTTTTAGCAACCTGAAAAATGTTTTTTAAACAAATTATTCAAAACTAATACTAAATGTATTTTTACAATGAAGTAAACATCTTATGGGATTCTCAGGTACAACAAGAGAGAACATAAAATACCCAAATATTACTTCAAATTCAAAACAATGGCCTGCAATACCCAAAAGTCTTATGTCACATTCCCCACTTCAATATAAAAAAGGGTTATAATTTTCCAAGTAGCTTTGCCCCTCTGAGCATTGGTAGAACTTGCCCCTAGACACAAGATAGAGGACCCTTTGGAAATCTGTTCTAAGGGTGCCTGTACATGTGCGGGGACTCTACTCCAATGCACTGTACAGTGCATCGGAGCAGATCTGATTAATCAAGTCTGCTGAAGCATGTTAGTTAGCATGGTCCAGCAGCCTCTGCATCTCATGTGTTCAGCATCCCCACACTTCAAAATCCTGATGGGGCTGCATTAACTAAAGCTTTTTGAATAAGCTTTAGTTAAAGCACCCCTGCCACCATTCTGAAGCATGGGAAGCTGAATACACAAGACGCTACAGATGCTTTTAATTAGAGAGGCTCTCAGAACCACTCAAATTAAAGCCACCTCCCCCCTGGGAACATGTATAAAAATTCCCTAAATGTGTAAGACAATTAAAAATATGTTTACAAATAAATAATATACCTTTGATTTTCTAAGCTTGTCTGACTGAGTTGACATTCTTTCAGGATCAATGCACTGAGTAGCAATAGCTTTAAAAAAAAGAGCAATGTTTATCAAAAAAGTTGTCAATACTATCCTTTAAACTTCAGGATAAACTCAGGATTTCAACTGAACCAAGGCTCTTCTTCTGCAAAGACATAATATTAGATATTGTGTATAGTGCTCTTGAATCAATTGGATGAAGCGTAAGCTTAGTAAAATGTGCAATTTCTTTCTTTTTTCACCGTCTCCTTATGACACAAATTTGTGGGGCTCATATTTGTCTGAGGTTCTACACATTTTTGCTGGTATTTTAATCTCTATCACAAAGGTAAATATGTGAATAAATCTTAGCAGGATTAAAGCTTAAAATTATTGGGTTTTATTATAAATTTAACATTACATCTACATTTGAAATTTAGAGAAAACTTAACTGACTAATTATGAAGGCTCAATATACAGCAAGCCAGCCACTGTTAAAGGAATCCTCTCACTGCCAAATGTCCCTAGGCTGATTCACTTTCTAAATTTAAAAATCTCATCTACCTAAATCTATTATGGACCTATTTTTCCTTTTAGAATGGGACAGACAGAGTACAGCCTGAGACTAAGATTCAAAAGAGTTTGTATGGTTCTGTGTATTTTTATGAGTATTTAACAAACATTAATATTTTGTCTCATCATACCAACATAAAGCAGTGTATTATTATCCCAAGAAATTGGCCACAGTACTAGAAACTGAAACCAGATCTCCCATGTTTCACACTTACAATTTTATCCTTCCTGGGTTGTCTAGCAAAGGAGCTTACAACAGTGGTACTTAAAATGGAACTTTTACTGCATTACTATATTGTAGACTTTTACTTCTTATTTTGTACTCATAACATTTTTTCATGTTCGCTTTGGTTGTCAAAATAATTCAATTACTGGATATTACTGAAAGTACCAAAAGGTGGTTATTCACAGCTTTGAAAGTGTGACTATTAGTTTTGCTATAATTTGTAACTATCTGGAACGAATGTCAAACTATCCTATTCTCTCTGATTTAGCAGAGTACATGATCACACACTTCCAAGTGGTCTTATGATTTGGGACCTTCTTTAGGGATTTAGGCCCAGAGCTCCCAAGGTATTTAAGTACTAGCCTGCTGCAGAGTAAAAAGCTCCACAGCAGCACCTGTGTAGACGCTGGTCTGACTGGCTGGGGCACAAGCGTGCTTCAGTGTGGGGGATACCTGCTGGCTAGCCATGCACTGAAGCTCCCTCATGCCCCAGCCAGCCCCTCCACAGCATGTTGAGCCAAGGGGAACAGTCCTGGGCTGACGAGCTGACCCCCCAGTGCGACCTGCCAGCCAGGGCTGCTCTGACCTGGCTCAACGTGCTGCACTCCCTGGTGCACATTTAAATGTACGCCTGGGAGCAATAAGCACCAGTTTGTTCAAGAACATTAACATGCATGTATAGATGCACGCACTGTTGAAGATCTGGATCTCTGTGACTGACTTAAATTAGCTTTCTACTTATTTAAAAGTAGCTCTCTCTCAACAGTTTTTCTGTAGTCTTATTGTTATTAGAACAGGATTCTCTGCAATATTCAAGTTAAATAAAAACAGACAAATAAACCAACTCAACTCTCTTAAGCAAGAAGACATGAATGAAACCAACTACTTTTCATACTCATCACAAATGCTCTCTCAGATGTTTTGGGTAGGCCTGTGCAAAGTGGCTAGTATTCGCTTCGGATTCAGATTCGGCTGATTTCATAGTTTCTAGGGTCGGAAGGGACCTGAGCAGATCATCTAGTCCAACCCCCTGCCATGGCAGGAAGAGCACTGGGGTCAAATGACCCCAGTAAGGTGGTCATCCAACCTCCTCTTAAAAACCCCCAGGGTGGGAGCCTGCACCACCTCACTTGGAAGCTGGTTCCAGACTCTAGCCGCCCTGACCGTGAAGTAGCGCCTCCTGATGTCCAACTTAAACCTTCCCTCCGCCAGCTTGTGACCATTGTTCCTGGTCACTCCTTGCGGCGCTCGGGGGAACAGGGACTCCCCCAGCGCCTGCTGATCCCCCCTAACCAGTTTATAACAGGCCACAAGATCCCCCCTCAGCCTTCTCTTTTGAAGGCTGAACAGGTTCAGGTCCCGCAACCTTTCCTCATAGGACCTACCCTGCTGTCCCTTGATCATACGAGTGGCCCTCCTCTGGACCCTCTCGATGCTGTCCACATCCCTCTTAAAGTGTGGCGCCCAGAACTGGACGCAGTACTCCAGCTGCGGCCTGACCAGTGCCGCATAGAGGGGGAGGATCACCTCCTTGGACCTGCTCGAGATGCATCTGTGGATGCACGACAAGGTGCAGTTGGCCTTCCTAGCCGCCTCCCCACATTGCCGACTCATGTTCATCTTGGAGTCAATAATGACTCCCAGATCCTTTTCCACCTCCGTGCTGACAAGAGGGGAGTTCCCCAGCCTGTATGTATGGTGCCGATTGTTCCTCCCCAGGTGCATCACCTTACACTTGTCTGTGTTAAACCCCATCCTGTTCTCCTCCGCCCATCCTTGTAACCTATCTAGGTCCAACTGTAGCCTGTTGCTCCCCTCTATTGTGCCCACATCCCCCCACATCTTAGTGTCATCAGCAAACTTGAACAGGGTGCTTTGCACCCCCTCATCCAAATCACTGATGAAGATGTTGAACAGGGCGGGCCCAAGGACCGAGCCCTGTGGGACCCCACTTCCCACGTCCTTCCAGGTCGAGAAGGACCCATCCACTACCACCCTCTGGGTGCGACTCTCTAACCAGTTGGCGACCCATTGGACTGTATGGGTGTCTACGCCACAGTCCCCCAGCTTCCTAATGAGAATGGGGTGAGAGACAGTATCAAAAGCCTTCCTGAAGTCTAGGAAAACTATATCCACTGCCACCCCTGCATCCAATGATTTAGTGACCTGGTCGTAAAAGGCCACCAGGTTGGTCTGACAGGACCTGCCGCTGATGAACCCGTGCTGGTTGCCCCTGAGCATGCCGTTCCCTGCTGGCCCCTCCTGGATGCGTGCCAGAATAATTTTCTCGAACAGCTTGCCCAGGATCGAGGTAAGGCTGACTGGCCTGTAGTTCCCCGGGTCCTCTTTCCTCCCCTTTTTGAAGATGGGAACCACGTTGGCCCTCTTCCAGTCCTCCGGCTCCTCTCCAGAGCACCACGAGTGTTCATAAAGCCGTGCCAGGGGACTTGCAATGACCCCAGTGAGTTCCTTCAGGACTCTAGGGTGAAGATCATCCGGGCCAGCTGATTTAAAAACGTCCAGCCCCTCCAGAAGCTCCCTAACTAAATCCTCACTCACTCTAGGCCCAGGTGAGCCTCCCCCGGGGCCCAAAGGGGGCCCAGCAGGGAGGTGGCAGTTCTGGTCCTTACTGAGGAACCAGATCTGGGGGACAGTGATTCGATTTGGTGATTTGAATCACTGTCCCGTATCGATTCGGCCAAATCTGATTAGGAGATTTGGCCACTGCCAAATCAGCCAAATCTCTGAATCTCTGACCCCCGCCCACTCTTCCAGCTCTTAAAAAAAAAAAAAAAAAAAAAAGCCCCCGCTCACCAGCTGCAGCCAGATGGGGAGGGGGCAATCCCTGCTGTCCCACACCACATGGGGGACTCTGCTATGAGCCCCCCCCTTTTTTTAAAAGGGCTGGGAGCTGGGGAGGGCACAGCAGCCATGGGAGGGCTGGGAGAGTGGGCAGGGGTCAGCAGGCTCGTGGCAGAGCCCTCCAGACAGCAGGGGGCAGTGGGGATCACCCCCCCCACGCTTGGCTGCAGCTGGTGAGTGGGGGCTTAAGAACCAGGAGCTGGGGCCAGGTGGGGCAGCCATGGGGGGGGCTGGGACAGCAGGCGTTGGTCCGGGGGACTGGGGAAAGAGGCAGGGGATGGGGCCTGGCAGGGGTGCTCCCATGGCCCCCTCTCCCCCCTCTAACCTCCCCCCCAGCTCCTACTTACCAGCATGGAATCCCGGTCCAGTTCCCTGCTGCAGCAAGTGGGAACTGCCCGAATTGCTAAAGCTCTCCAAATCAATTTGGAGAGTGTCACAGGGTGACGGCACAATATGACCCCAAAGGGGAAAAGGGGAACCCCGGGACCCAAAATAAGGTGGGGAAGAGAAAGTAAGAAAAAAAGAAAACAGTAAGTTTCTTACCTGCAGCCGATGACGCAGGAAAGCCAGAAGTGGAGGCGGGACCTACGTGGCTAATTAGCCACGTCTTTTTAAAACTACTGCCAGCTGTGATCAATAATGGTCAGAGCCGGCGCGGGGGCATAAAGAATGCCATGAGAGAAGAGGAAGGGGGAGAGAGCTGGAGATCAGCCAGGAGGGGAAACGATCCCAAGGCCTCATCCGGAGGCAAGGGAGAGACTAGCAGCCAGCTGCGAAGCTGGAACACGTCCCCCGACAGAGGGAGGGATAATGCCCAAGGAGAGGCGGCGGATGCCCGAGCGAGCGACAGCGGAGCCAGGCAAAAGGATCTGGGGGCAAGACCTGGCACTTGGAGCCTCCTTGAAGAGAGGGGAGCAAAGGAAGACCCAACAGTCCAGGTGGGATCAGCACGGGTCTGGGGAGCATCCCAGAGTCCATCCCCCATAGGGAACCGGAATACAAGCAGTGAGAGGGGCTGCAGAGTCCTGGATTCTGCCAGGCAGAATCACTCAGCAAGGGACTGAGGGAAGAGGGAAACCCGAGTGTCTGGGAGCATTCCCGAGTGCCCATTTGGGAATCGCTGCACCCAGTCATAGGGGAGCTGCGGAGAGCACTACGAAAGGGGAGAATTTTCTCCAGGACAAGGAGTCCAAATTTTGGTTTCTTAACCCAGGAAACTTGCGGGTAGTATTTTTCTTTGGTGTTTGACTGAGTGACCCATGGTTAGAGGGACAGGGAGGAACCTTAGAAGGATTCTTTAACTGACTGGATTGAGAGTCAGGACAAGCCCCACGGGCTCGCCACCAGTTACATCTGGGCATGGTAAGGCGAGGGTCAGCCCCCAGAATCACAAGCAACTCGGTGTGGCTGGGTATCAGGGCAAGGTGTAGGGGAGGGCAGAGCCTCGCAGAAGACCATCACCCCAAGAGTCCCAACACCGGATAAGCTAAAGTAGTCAGCCTCTCCACTGAAGGTTACAGCAAAGTTGTGGCAGGCTGGATAGGGGAGGAGACTACCTTTAAGACTGATCCGGAATAGACGATTCCAGGGACGAAGCAGCAGGCAAGCCCATACGCCAGAGGCCGAGCAGCGTAAGACCTTATGTTCGAGGCCCGCCGGTTGCAGAGAGCTTTGAATCAATTCAGACCTTTTAATTGGTCCCGATTTGATTTGGATTTGGAGATTCAGCCACCAAATTGGGCCAAATCTCTTCCAAATCGAATCAACACCTGAAGCTTTGCACAACCCTAGTTTTGGGTGCTTAGTTTCATTGAGGAAAATGATAACATGTTGCAGACCAGATAGCTCCATAGGCTAGAAGAACTTCCAGCCCATAAAAAATCATGACAGTTGTACCAAAATACTTGGATAAATCTCAGAAAACACTATAAGTAATATTCAAAGTGCTCAAACAATATGAATTAGACTGTGAATATGTAATGGAATTCAGTATTTTGTTGAGAAGAAACCAGGCAGAAATAATTAAATTCCATCTCATAAATTCAATTAATAGATCAACGTATTCTTCAACATCTAAAATATCATAATCCAGGGACAGGCAATCCCTGACAAGCATGTCAATTAGTGGCACACGGAGACATTTTCCCTGGCATGCTAGGAGGCATGCAAGGAAATTAAAAAAAAAATTGTTTTTAAAGTTGCTGCTCCAGGCTCTCCGGAGCATCCACAGATCCCAGTACCACGGCAGGCACCAGGGGCAGTCAGGAGAATACAGGCAGGGACACTGTCTGTGTTCTGCTGACCCTGCCCCCGGGCTGCACCCTCCACCTCGGCCCAGCCCCTGAAGGGGAGCTGCGGATGGGTGAGGCTGGGGCCTGGACAGGTGCTGTGCAAGGTAGCTGAGCTGGAGGCTCCCAGAAGGTAGGCACACCCTGGGTCTAGCCTGGGCTAGCACAGACGGACACCATGTGCCACCTGGGCCAGGCACTCGGAGCAGAGTCCAGGTGGCACGGGCAGGAGACAGAGCAGGGAAAGTCACTGCAGGCAGGCCAGCTTGGCCAGCTCCTTGGAAAAATGGGGGCCAGGCAGGAAGCATGGGCTACCCTGGGGCTCTGCAGTCTCAGGCCACGGCATGCAGCAGCACTCAAGGTGGGGCCTGGAGCAACCCAGCCTGCACAGCTCTGAGTGGATGGGGAGCAGCTGACCTGCCTGTGACCGGATGCCACTGCAAGACACTGGGCCCAGGGGGTTCCCAGCTCAGTCTCCCAGCATGCTAGGCACAGCATGAGCAGGACACAGCTGCCACCAATGTGAAGGCCTGGCTGCATGGAGTCCCCTGGGCTCCAGGAACAGCCACCACAGCTGCCCCAGCCTGCCTGGGCCCCGGCTTTGCCCACGCACAGCTCCTCTCCAGGGCCTGAGGCTGGGGCAGGCACTGTGCAGGCTTCCTCCACTCCAGGACCGTCGGGAAGGCCCGAGCGCCCTAGCCCCAGTGGCTGCTGCTGGGGTGTCGCTTTCTCCCTCTGCAGGACACTGCCCTGGATCCAAAGGCCCAAGCCACAGCCAGTAGCAGTGGGAGACAGCAGCGAGAGACATACCCTCTTCTTCCCTTCTTTTTCTTCTTTTTCTTTTTTATTTTCTTTCCCTCTTTTCTATCCCTCTTTTTTGTCTCCTTTTTCTCTTTTCTTTCTCTTCTCTTTTTCACTTTTCTTTCCCTGTTTTTTTACTCCTTTTCTCTTTTTTCTCTCTTTTTCACTTTTCTTTCCCTGTTTTTGTCTCCTTTTCTTTTTTCTCTTCTCTTTTTCTCTTTTCTTTCTGTTTTTGTCTCCTTTTTCTCTTTTCTTTCCCTCTTTTCTCTCCTTCTTTTTGTCTCCTTTTTCTCTTTTCTCTTCCTTTTCTCTTTTCTCTCCCTCTTTTTGTCTCCTTTTTCTTTCTCTTCCTCTCTCTCATTTCTTTACCACTTTCTCTTCTCTTTTTCTTTCCCCCTCTCACATTAGAACATGCTTAACAAAAAAAAAATATACAAGTACAGAGGCAGTATATGAAGTTTTATTTATTGTCACCAGGTTTAGCATTTTTTAGAAAACCTGGTATTTACTGGAAAAAAACAAAGCAACATTGATGATTATTAACTATATTAATATGAAGTGCATCCTGTCATGTACCCTCCACCCTGGTTTTGTTTTTCTGGTATGCCAGCACTCCAGCACCTTACAAAGTAGGCACTGCATTTTTTCCGGCACTCCAGCCAAAAAAGTTGCCTACCCCATCACAAGCATATCCCCCAAGAGATCCTACAATTTTATATGCAAATCAATATGTTAAAATCATATCCATAAATAATTACACAGAGATGATAAAGGAATCAGATTACTGATATTTGCAAGAAACAATAGTAACTTCATCTGACGTGAAGCAGTATATCTCCACTGAAATCAATACCAACTGAGAAGTATGCCCAATGCATTTAGTAAAAAGTACCACACAGTTATTTAGTTGTAACAATGATATCCCTCCAGCCATAACACCAGAAGGCTACATCTAAACCAAAGTGAGATTCTAAAGAAAGTTGGGCTGATGACTCAAGAACTGACTCTTCCCTTTCCAACTGAACACTGAAAGGTCATTAGGCATGTAGTCTGAAGTCAGGCAGAGATATCTGACAAAGCACCTGACAAAGTAGGCTGTCACCTATGAAAGCTTAGGTCTCTCTGAATAAGACAGTCTCCAAGGTGCCATCCTGCCCTATCTTCTGCCTAACTTGATACTGAACTAGTGCCCTAGAATGAAGTTACAGAACACTATATACCCTTTGAAATTATGAACGTACTATCCATTTGACATTATTTGTCTACCGAAGAACATTCACCAAGAAACTCTTGGCCAATTATCGTACAATAATTACACATTAAGAATTGATGGAGATGCTGTCTTTCAGTGGAGTTGCAAAATTAAGGTTCTAATCAACTATGTCCATTAGGAACAACATTTTTACTTAAAACTCTATTTTTTATATTAATTTATCTGAGGCGTATGTTTTGTATAGATAAACTGTAAGCATGTGTAAGCCTTGCCTCCTGAAGTGGACAAAGAAAATGTATAACTGACAAAGCTTTGACTCCACAGTCTAAATACATCAAACAACATGCTAATTTAGTACTTTTCCTGTTAGTAAGGGCAGCACAAAAATACCTGTGCTTCTTAAAAGCACAATGCCTCCCAAGGCTACTTCTACTATAATATAGCTTATGCATGAATGTCTCCCAGGACAACAGTGATATACCTTATGCAGGACATTGTGTAAATATGTACTGTAGACCTCTGAGCACTACATGAAAAATTTTCTAATGTGCAAATGTTATTATATTCTATCTGCTAGAATTTTATCCATCTTTACTCTGCATCTTTACTGCATATACATGTATGTTTTTCAGATACTAGACTGTACATTCTTCCTGTTGTTTCAAGAAACTTGAAAGAAATTGCTAGGGATGAAAAATGGATTAAATCAATTCATTCACCATTCAGCTATTGTTCCTATTAGTAAAACTAAAATAATTGCTTATTACTTTGCTGTAGTGAAACTAGATGACTATCCATCTCCACTTGTTTGTGTTCCAAAGAAAGTATTTTTTCAGCATGTTCCTTCAGTTCCACGGCGCATTCATTTATTTTCTTCTCCAAGTCTGAGATGGGTTTAATGTTCAGTGGCGCATTTTCATACAGACACTTTGAAATAGCACTGAATGAATAATCTTTTTGTAATTTGTCCACCAAAGAACAATCATCATCCAAAAAGGGAACCCTTGGCCAATCATCCTGCAATAATTACACATAAAAAGCAATTACTCATGAAGACTGTAAAAACATAAGATAAAATTAAGAATCAATCATTTGTGGCATCTACTTTTTACAATGCACTGCAGTTCCAATATAAACACATTTTAAATATACATTTTAATAACCTCTAATTTAGACAGCCTTGTTAAAAAAACTGGAATATCTTCTTATCTTGTATATTACATTCAGATTTGATTACATCATTTGTAAAAGGTCAGCAAAACTAGAAAAGAGCCAGAAAGGGACGGATCAAATTCATGCTGGGAAATGGGATTTATACAAGAAATAATTAAAAGGATTCAGATTGTCTAGTTTGAAAAGGAGATTACATGACTAAAAAGAGTTATCATGTTTCTAAGGAGACAAAGTCATTTAAGCACAGTAATATCTTCCATCTGTGGTGCATGCTTCTGGAAGCAAGGGATAGGCCATCGTCCCTAATCAAGCAAAGAACTTAAGATAGTGCTTAACTTTAAGCAAGTAAGCAATCCTGCTGAAGTCAATGGAATTATCAACATCTTTTAAGTTAATCATGGAATTAAGTACTCTGCTGGCCAAGTGCTTAAGTAAATATTCTGATTTATTATCACAGTAATCTGATCGTCCCATCCTGGTATCAGGCACACATTGTTTTAAAACCCTTCTGTAAACATGAGAGACAATGGATGCACTCTATTGTTTCAATAACAGAGACAGACAAAACATTCCCCACACAACTTCTTTCACTGAAAAATTTTTTGCAGGTCCACCAAAACCAATCATGAATTAGTTTTGAACTGGCCGAATTGCTTAGGCAGAAAATGGTGAAAAAGTTGGACATACAGCAATCTTTCATTTGTATATTTTCAAAGATATTTCAATTTCTCCATTTCATTTTCATTTCTAAATGTTCCATCCTACAGATTTTTTCTTGCTTCTGTTTCTCTTGGAAAATAAAAAATATGTATTTTGGGTCAACCCAAAACAAGTATTTTTTTTTTCAACCAATGAACAGCAACAACAAAATATAAATTATTCAGACACCTTAAGTGGAGGGATATCACGCTAGCCAACATCCGCAACTATCCTTTGGGGTGATCCATCTCTTCAAATAAGCATGAAAGGTTGGCTCAATCCAGCAATGATATGGATGCTTCAGTGGCATATACAGTTAAGTCAGAAACAGGGGCAGATCCAGAGGGGGTGTACTAACGCAGCTGCACCCCACTTTTGGATTGGAGTGCACCTAAAGCAAGTGAAATGCCCCACCCCCTCCCTTTAGTGGTCAGATGCAGCTCTCCTTTTTCCCCTTTCCCATGTACCACTGCTACTTTACCCTCTGCCCCAGGGTACAGTGGAAGTGCTAGAACCATTTTTGCCCGCCCCAGCTGGGCCTCATGGGGCTTGAACTCAACTGGGGACAGGGATAGCACCCTAGATAAAAGCGTGGTTTTCTACTCCTTGCCTTTTCTCCCAGGAGGAAGGACCCCCTAGCTAATCCCTGCTGCTGCTGTCCCATCCCCAGCTTAACCCAGTCCCCATGCGGCCAGCGGGGGCAAACAGAAGTGGCTCTGAAGTTTCCCCCTTCCCCTGGCACAGCAGAAAAAGCAGAAGTAGTAGGTGGGGGAAGGGCAGAAGGGGAGCAGAAGGGATGTGCCTCTGAGCACAAAGGAGAAGGGGGAGGGATTTTCACTTTCTTTAGGAACTTGAAAAAGTACCTGGAGGCTCCCATGGCACCTCCACTGGTGGAAGGAGGAGGCAGCTGGGAATCGTGAGGGTGTAACCACACATCCATTGTGTGTTGCTGCTTCCACACCCACTTTGGGAAATCCTGGATCCACCCTGGTCAGAAAGATCTTCTGAACAGACTTACAAATACAAGAAAAGAAAAATATGGCTAGAGTAAGCAAAACTGTTAAAAGTTACTGGAACTTTGTGTTTGGGTTTGGAGGTGATGTATTATGGTAGTAAAGTTGTAGCCTGGCCAGCTGTCTCAAGAAAAAAAGAAGTCTGAATCAGGTTCATCACTGAACATATCCACCATAAAACAGCAAACACTGTACTGCAGACACAAAACTTTGTCCTTGGCCTACCTATGAAAAAAAAATGAGGGTTAACAGCAGAAGTACTGTTTTCTGGAAAGGTGGCCATTTCCAGAAAGCTCTGACTTTCCAATGTCTGAGGGTCTGGGTAACAAAATCCATGTTCAAACTTGGTTTGTAATATTTATTAAGGCTGTGCAAAGGTTCAGCAGCCGTTTCACTTTGGAGGCGTTTCAGCCCAAAACACTGAATCCAAAATGAAATGGAAGGCTCCAAAACAAAACAAAACCATCCAAAATGTTCTGGAAAATTTTGAAGCCGAGCTTGCAGGAAACAGAAACTAAGAAAAGGGACGGGGAAGGACTGCTCTGATATTGACATCTGTAGCTGGCCAGTATCTGCGATCTGTACCTGACATCCCATTCCAATCCCAGTGCTTTGGGGAAGGGACGGCAGTCTGCTGTCATGCCACACATAGATCCAGGGGCCCATGCCCCCCAGGAGTCTGGCACAGCCCTGAAGCCCTCCCAGGGGGCACAGGCCCCCGGATGTGTGCGTGGGATGACAGCAGGCTGCCGCTGCCAGCTGGGTCCAATGCCAGCACCCAAGTCTGCCTGGCACACCCTGCACCAAAAAGAACCCAGTACTGGCACTGGCCCCAGCCAGCAGTGGTAGCCTACTGTTATCCCACACACAGATCCAGAAGCCCGCGCTGCCCAGGAAGAACCCAGCACAGCCCGGTAGCACTCCTGTGGGGGGCAGGCACCTGGATCTGCATGGGGGGGGGATGACAGCAGGCTGTTACTGCCAGCTGGGCCAGTGCCAGCACCTGAGTCTGCTTGGCGCAGCCCGCCACAATTAATTAAGAACCCAGTGCTGGCACTGACCCCAGCTGGCAGCAGCAGCCTGCTGTCCTCTCACGTGCAGATCCAGGGGCCCACGCCCCCCAAGAGGAGGCTGGCACAGCCCCATAGCCTCCCAGGGGGCGCGGGCCCCTAGATCTGCATGCGGGTTGACAGCACACTGCCACTGCCGGCAACTGATATGAGTTGTGCTTTGAACAGTTTGAGGTGCAGTTTCAGAGAAACTCCTGCACCTATCTCCTTGAAACTTAGCAGGCTTCATGCCCTTGCAGTTGTCATCTGAATCAGGCAGGAAATGACAAAGTTATAGGCATTTTAGTGATTCCCCATTACAGCCTATGGCTAAATCACCAAAACAGCGTCAAAACTCCAAAACAGACTCAGCCGAACCAAAACGGAACCGAAACACCAAAACAAATCGCTGTCCCTCTGAAACGGCCAAATTCGAAACCAAATCAAAACATAGCCATTTCACACAGCCCTAATATTTAGTCATACGGCTTTTGCTCAGGGCCTGTTCTTGCATGTTCATTCCACCATACACAGGAGTAGTTAAAATAACAAGCACTTGTACTTACCAAATTTTGGGACTGTAGGAATTCTTCAAAAGTAAGAGTCGGCTTTTGCATTTTCTATCAAAACACAAAATGTGAATTATTGTTACAAGAATTCCTTATGAAAACTATGACAAATTTTACTAAGCTACTGGTCTTAACAATCAATTAAAGTTAACAGCATTTTATTTTCAATGGAAACCCAGACATTAGTGTTAATGAACAAAAGACCCTATTTATTATCAAATTATGAGAAATATGAAAAGAAATGTAGAAACCATGCAAGAACACTGTATCACTAAATGGTGAAAATTTATTTATTTTAACCAGTGTAATTTGAAGTCAAATATTTATAATACTTTTTAGTATACTGACAGATAAAATGCAATCTTTCTGTACTAGTAGTAAGGGCTTATCAATAAATCTGTTCTGTTCTTAAGTATTCAGTCAGCTCAGAAATTTTACAAATGCCAGGTTTGCAGGTTAGAAAGTAGCATCACTCACTTCAAACTACTAGCATTTCCTGAATTCAGTGCAACTAACTCAACTGTAATCTTTAAAAATATACCTGAGCACAGAACAAGAAAAAGAATCAGCCTGGTTCAGATCAAGGCACAAAGCAAAGTGCAAAGGATTTAATTAATCTAATCAATTTAGGAGTGTTTTGGCCTGATAGAAGTACCAAACCTTGGCTACTTTAATAAAAAGACACTCAGTATCAACCCCTTAGAGATATTATTCCAATGAAGTAATAGATGCCACCATTTAGTAAACTCTGATGGGGTGTTATTTTAGAAATGAAATTTGGTTTTAAAAAAACAAAGTGTTCTTCTAGACACATAAATAAAAGCTTTTTTCACTTAAAAGTATGTATTGCAAAGTGAGAAATGTTAGCTCTTGAGCAAAGATTCTTCAGTACTGTTTATCACATTACAGTACTACTGGGCACGTCTACATAAGACGCTGACTGCGCAGTAGCCAAATATAACTGCGCAGTAATGTGCCACAGCACTAATAGTGCTAACATGCTACTACTCAGCAGCATCACTTAAAACACGTTTGCCAGCGCTACTGCATCAGAACTCAGTTATTGCACATTTATTAAATAAATGCACAACAACCACTGTGTAGTAGCATCTCATGTACAGGTATGTATATTGTTACCAATATAAAGTTGGGTAAAAAAAAATCTAAATCCTGTGAAATGCAGCCATTTATTTTATTTACTGCAGTATATTAGCCAACAAGAAAAACATGGCATGCCAAAGGCAAATATAACAGATAAGCAACAGAAATCAAATTCTGCTGTCAGTACTACTAAAGTCAATGGGATTTTCTGGGTGTAACTGAAGTAAGAAACTGGCAAAATAGCCATCTACAATATTAGTATTTTGTCTAAAAACAATGCCTAATGTACCACAGACTGATGCTTTATTTTATTTCACTGAGTCAGGAAAATATTCAGCACCCCAGAAATATTTTTGAGACTTAAGCCATTTAAATCTCAAAATGCAACTACTGAACATTTAAGAGCATTGAGTAGTTTCTTGTTTGAATAAACAATAAGCAGCTCAAATATGTTCTATTTTACTTGGAACTCACTCTAGTAATATGGTATTATTTATATCTAAATCTCTCTATAAGTAATTCTGCCAGTCATTCAAAATGACAGAGGCCAATTTGCTCTAAAATCTCCAAAAAATTTGTCAAAGAACATAAGTATCATGACAAATCCAGTACTCGCTATATTTCACTTGTAATACTGAAAACTTCTGAATCTAAGTCTATATTTTCAAGGTGCATGTATGAGTGACCAATGTATGGCAGATAGGCAAAAGTCTGAAGTACTATTAAGCATAGTAAATTACAGTAACAAACACCACAAACATTTCTACGATTGCTTTTATTTGCATTACTTTACAAATATGAATTTAATAGGTATCACACCTAAATATATTAGTCAAGGGTATCAAATAATAATTTTGTGCAGGCAGCTCCTTTTAACTGGAACTGGGGTTCAACTTATCCGTGCACATAATGACAATGCAATGGTACAAGGCAACAATAATAATGCTAATAATCTAATAACTAACACACCTCCCTTGCCAAAGAACTGAGGATGCTATCCAACATAAACAATTATAAAAACAATTTTAAAAAAACTTTTATAAAATGGTTAGGTTTAAATTTTAAAAGGGAAAGTAAGAAAGAAAAAAAATGTGAAGAACATGGAATGAATAGTTATCATTCAAAAAAAAATTTGAAAACAAATGTAAACAAAAAAATCTAAAATTCTTTCAAAATGAACTAGGACAAAATTAGGTGAGCCATAGCCAACCACAGTGAAATTCAACAAATACTTGGGGACATATGGCCGTAACTAGAGCAAAATTTGAACTGTGTTGTAACTCTACACTGAAAGATGTGCAAATGATCAGAACATGCATTTCTTTAAGTTTAACCAAAATATTGCCTGGTGTGGCAAAAGTAATGCGGAGCGCTATATTTAAACAGGTCCCACAAATAGGATATTTCTCCTGCTTCCCATCGCTGCAGGAAAGTAGAAGCATCCATTCCCACTGCAACTCCGCCCGTCCTCACTCAACATTATTCTTGCCATCCTACATAATGGAAAAGGTTGGACGGTTGTCCTCGACATGATGTTTCAGGAAATTGATGTAAGAAACAAGGTTGGTTTTTGGTTTTGGTGTTTTTTGTTTTGTTTGGGGACAGTGGTTTCAGGGGGGGAGGGAATATATTTTATCAGACCAACTGTATAGTTGGGAAAAAGATCGTTTAAGTCCTTGTTATGGTTTTTAAAGACCTCTTCCACTTGAGTACCATTTTCACCTATATAACGGAATTGTTAAAAGTTGTTTTGTTTTTAGTTTAGGTGGTCTCTGCTTCTCTGGCAGATGTAAGGACAGAGAGGCAGAGCCTCCTTAGGGCAGGCAGGAGACAGCAGGTGGGCAAGGTGGCACCTTAGAGATATGGTCACTTAGAAAAGCATGTGTAAGTTACTGCAGACACGGAGGAATATGCCCTACAAAAGCTCATGACTTCCTGAATTAGTCTCAATGGCTGCTTATACATGTGCTCAGAGGGAAGTGGGGGAGGCATTTTAATTAGCGCGGTAGTGACTCCAATTAAAACGCAGCAGCCCATGTGTATTTTAAAAATGTCCCTCCCATGTGTTTAAAAATGGCCACAGAACACTTTACCTAAACCTCGTTAGAGGAGGTTTTGTTAAAGCGCCCCATGGCCATTTTAAAACCTGTGGGAGTTAAATATGTGGGACACCACAGCAAGTCTGCTCCGGCGAAGGAGGATGTGCCTGGGCACCCAAAGGTGCCTTCACCCCCGCCCGGCCTTCTGCTCCGCTTCGTCTTGCGGCCTGCCGGGGCCTGCCTCTGGCGCCCCACCACCACTTCCACAGCACAGCTGCTCAATCAAGCTCATCACCAGGAAAATCTGAAACAAAAAACCCCTCTCCTCTCTCTGAAAACCAACCAACCAAATGAAACCAGTTGAAGAATCAAAGGAATGAAAACACGGGACTTGGAGAAGCGCAGCTCCTTCGCAGGTAGGGCGGCGGCGGCAACAAACCCTTCCCCCTCGGTGCACTTGTGGGGATCCGGGCGGGGTCTGTTCCCCGGGAAGGGGAGTCTCCCCGTACCGGGCGCTGAGCAAGCCGCTTTTCGCCGCCAGGTTTGTATCTCTGCCCCGCGGCGCCTGGGCCTGGGCCAAGCACGACACGACTGTACAGAGCCAAGGCCTGCAGGGACCTCCGCGCCTGGGGGAGGTGGGGGGCACTTACTGCCGACACCCGGGGCCCTCAGGTGGACGCCCCGCCCCGCCGTTGCCAGGCCCCCGTGCCGCCGCCGAGCCGCTCCGCCAGATCCTTCCGGTGGCGGGGCCGGGCCGGACGCTTTAGTTCCGGCTCCCGGAGGAGCTGCGAGGAGGTCAGCACAGGACGTGGGTCCGGCGCGGCTGCCAGCAGGTGCCCGGCGATGAGCGGCGGCCCGGGGCCCTGGCGCTGAGGGAGCCGCGGGGCCAAGGCCCGGGCCCCGGCGCTTGAGGAGCCTCCGCGCTGGCCAGGGCGCGGCTAAGAGCTGGGGCACGGGGGTGCGCTGGGGAACGACTGTAGTGGCCCAGCGTTTCCTGTACGGGCCTCGATTTTACTACACTGCTTTCTCTCTTCTTGTTGGAAAGGGGAGTCTCCTTGGCTGGGGGCTGAGTACCCACGGGTTTTTGTCTCTCTTTGTGACCCCTGAACCTTGTTGCAGTCAGGCTTCGGGCCCTGAGACACTAAACAAGGAGGGGGGTGATGCCGTGCAAGGAGGCGCAAGGTGGAACTGGCAGTGCCGGGTTTCTCCGGTTGGCTTTGAGCCCTTTCTGCAGCCTCCTGCTCCCAAGCTGCTACATGGGCAGGAGAGGGCCTTGCTGTCACCTACCACTGGAGGTAGCCTTCAGGGATGTTTTCAGCAATTGTAACTTGAAAATCACAGAAGCTGAAATGAGAACTTTCTGATTTGGAGACTCGAGCTAATGATCCCGATCCATGTTTAGTTCCCCATACCCACACACAACACTTAAGTGGTCAGCATGAGGAACCCTGGTCAGAAATCTTTCACCTATTTTCTGGGCTTAGCCCCTGATCTTACAACTCGTTGCATGGGCTGTGCACCCTTCCGGAGCCTGCACATCTTGGCTTATGTCTATGCACAGCAGACAGCAGGACCAGGGCCTACTTCTGTATAGTTAAGTTCTTTATTTTATTTAAACCCTCAGCCCTGCAAACACTTATTTACATCCTTAACTTGACTCACCTGAGTAATCCAACTGGCAATCCATGGGACTTCTACTCGAAGCTAACACAAACTTAGACTTCAGTCTTACAAATACATGTTTTTGACTTTAGGCACTTGACTAAATTGAGTGAGACAACTTGTCTGGGTAAAATTACGCATATTTGTAGTCATGGGAGTAGATCTCAAGCTGTTTTGAGTTCAAGACTATCTTGTAATCTTTGGCTACTATACTCACATAGATTTATTTTTGGGTTCTGGGTACTACTGTCAAAAATTATGATGATGATATCTTTTGGATTAGACTGATCCAGTATGAGAGATTTCTGCTCTGAGACAGAAGTGTGTGTTTAAAAAGATCACACAGAATAACTCTTCTAAACTGGTCAATTTAATAATATCTCAGAGTATTTTTTTCCATAGGTACAGGATATCATTTGTTTGAACCAAAGATGTCATTAAATTTGCCAACACTATTAAATCAAGAAAGCCATCGGGGATTTAAAAAAAAAATTGAATGTCTGAAAAACCCAGAATCACAGACTACTTCATCCTTGCAAGATAACCCACTTCAAAACTTACAAATAGCATCCCATGAAGTTCTTGAAAAGGCCCAAAAGAGTGGGAGATCAAAGTGTCCAAAATGCGGGAGTTCCAGGATGTTCTATTGTTATTCATGTTATGTTCCAGTTGAAACTGTCCCCACCAAACAAATTCCAGTTTTGAAGGTTAGTATTTTCTGTATATATTTGTTAGATATGCAGGGAGGGGGACAAAATTTGCTCTGTCTTACAAACTTTTTTTTTTTTTTTTAAAGGAATTTTTCCTGGTTTTAATGTCAGCACTACGTGACATGTTTATCTAGGCTTAATTTGTGCATTTATTTCTATTGTAGCTGCCTTTGAAGATTGACATTATTAAACACCCAAATGAAACTGATGGCAAAAGCACTGCTGTACATGCTAAGCTCCTGGCCCCTGAAGATGTTATGATTTACACATACCCTTGCATTCCTGAATATGAAGAAAAAAGACATGAAGTAAGGAAGTTCTATGCATATAACAAGGCTTTTTGCTGGAGAAGTGCTTAGGTGCCTGTCCTCCAACCTCCACCTGAATCCTTCTTAGGGAGGATCAGATCCAATCACACTGCACATGTTCCTCCATCTAATCAGTTCCACTCCACCCACACCCACTAGAACATATCTGTGCAAGGTAAAGAGGGTGTATGGGCTCTGGCAGAACCTGAAGCAGGCACCACCCACGAGCACAGCCTAATCACACTGATTTGGTTACATTCCCAAAAGTATCAGTCATCTAGGCCACTGGCCTGATTCACTCCCTTGATGTAGTTATGTGGCTTGCTTAGCATATTCAGGTTCTGAAAAATGTAAGTTCCTATTCTAAAAATCTTCTAGCACTAGCCAAGCACCTGGGCAGTGTTTTGTTCCTTAGCACAGAGCCTGAAAAAAATTTAGTGTAAACTCCAAAAACACAGCTGGGGGATGTCACTTAAGTGTTTAAAATTAGGATTCAGAATTAGCACTTTCATTGTTGCCACTTAATAGTTCAGTGGTGATCACATGATGAAAGGAATTAGTCAAGGAAAGAACAGAGGTAGCCACAAAAGAAAGAAGTTAGAAAGGAAGGTGCAGAAGTGAGATTTTAAAAAAACTGCAGGAATAGCAGTAGTCCTGCTGGTCAGTATAAGTGATCTAGTGTAGTCTTAAATGTAATGAATTAACTGACGACAACAAATATTCCTGAGTTTATACCCTGGCCCATAAGTCCATAATAAAAAATGGAATTTGGACATTTTCCCAAGTAACCCTGCATTAAATAAAAAATCTGAAAAAATAGCTTCTCCCACAGAAAATACTTGATTAAGTACTGGATATATTTTAATAGGTACAGAAATTGTATAAATGTAACAAAGATGTTATTTAAAGAGATGTTCCTTTTCACTCTTACTGATTTAGATTAATTTCAATTCTTTGGACTGATGTAAGAAAAGGTTTTACTTTTTCAATTTTAATGAAATTATTCTAAACATTTTACTAGACGCTTTAAATTTCCTTCAATATGACATTTGGATCCTTGTGTTTTTCGTTATTTTAGATGGTGCTTATCTTTCCTGGTCCCAACTCAATTTCACTTAAAGATCTTGGTCTCCATCTGCAAAGAAATACTAAGAAAAATGTTTGTGCCGAAGATGATTCTACAGCAGAACCATTTCTCAAGCAAGCACGAATAGAATCAGAACAACAAAACATAAATGAATGCAAGGCAAACAAAACTGAAGACACTGGACTGAAGAAAATAATCTTTATTGACAGTACTTGGAATCAAACTAACAAAATAATTACTGATGAGCGACTTCAAGGTAAAATTGTTAGTTGAAAGATGAAAGTGACTGAAATGCATATTCATTTAATGCAGAAGCCCTGATTGGTAGAAAAACAGGTAAGTCTAAAAATATGTTAGGGTTTAAGTGAATTGTCTTGAGACTTAGGAAGCCTCTTCCAGTCATCCGGCCCAGTACTCTGCTATTGTAGATGATGATGCTAAATAATCCACTTCACAAAGCTAAAACTAGTTTTAGGGGTTTTTTTTGGAAAACACGCTCTTTGTTTTGAGAAGCTGTTCCAGAACTCCAGAACAGGAGGTGCTAACTCATGCAGCTACAGAGAAAAATTCATTATCTTTTATCTATGGAGGAAGCTAGAGGGATCTCAAGAAAGGTCATTTGCTGCTGCTTTCCTCCCCCCTCCCTACTAGCGTGCTC